TTTAATATTGTTTTTTTTTTTTTTTTATAGTAAAGCATTATTTTAGTTTTCATTCAGTATCCATTTTAAAAACTATCGGCTGATTAATCGGTATTGGCCAGTTTGGTCCAACCTAGCTATCAGTATCGGTAAAATCCTTATTATCGGTCGAGCTCTAGTGTTTACAGTGTGTTCTGTGCTTCCCGGTGGTCAGGTGGCGTATTCCTACACCTATGAGCTGAGGCGGTGCTTGGATGATTAGTACATATAACCTCTGTCCAACTGGTTGGTCTCTGAGCAATTTATCTAAAAACAACATATTATAGCCTATGGCCCTAAATACTTTATATAAAACATCAATGTTATGTCATAATATGTCAGACAGATACCTCAACTGAATTTAAAATCATTGCAATAAATTCTCAGTTGGTATGATGGCAATAATAAGTAACTCAAATCACTCCTCAAATCAACATCAAATGTAAAAATAGATGTAAATGATGCAAGATATAACAGTAAATGTTCTAATAGTATTGCTTGTTTGGCCATTTATTGGGAGTTTTTTTTTTTTGTTTTGTTTTTTAAATCCAGTGTTTTCAGTTCAGTGATTGTTTCAGGAGCGCGAGCGTACGGTTTTGTGCGAGAGCAAGGGAGATCCACGCGCGAGCAGAGAGATTTGCGCTCGCGCATTGTATTAATGTGCTTTCGCGCTACACTAATGCGCTCACGACATTTGTCAGTAAAATAATGCCATACTTGATTAGCTGCTTCAGGAGTGTTTGATTGGTGTTGGATCTGAAATCGGCAGGATTAAATATACAAATATATTAAATCCAGACTCAAAACTCATCTGTTTAACTGTGCATCTTCTGAATGAGCACTGTGCTACGTCCGAACTGATTGCACTGTATTTTATGTATAATCATTTTCTATTCTTAACTGTTTTAAATTCATTTTAAACCTCTTAAATCAATGTTTAAATCATTTACAAAGTTTTTAAATTCCTTGTTTTATTTTCTTTTCTTTTATGTAAAGCACTTTGAATTACCATTGTGTATGAAATGTGCTATATAAATAAACTTGCCTTGCCTTGCCAT